GGGGGCCACCACAGTGACGCCACGGGCGGACCCAAATTAGACCTCGCCATCCCAGGGGGGATGCGATCTGTGAAACTGTCGCCACTTTCGAGGCCTGCTGGGGGGCCCACCACAGTGACGCCACGGGCGGACCCAAATTAGACTTCGCCATCCCTGGGGGGCTGCGATCTGTGAAACTGTCGCCACTTTCGAGGCCTGCTGAGGGGCCCAGCACAGTGACGCCACGCGCGGACCCAAATTAGACCTCGCCATCTCTGGGGGGCTGCGATCTGATATCCCCGCTTTCGAAGTGGCTAGGGTTGCTCAGGGATTGCAGCTAATCAGCTTTATCTAGTCCTTGTCCTGAAGCCAGTGTCCTGCGAGTCTCCCGAATTTCGTCTGCAGACATATGTAACCCTCGCTCCGTCATCGCCCCCCTTATAAAGTGTCCTAAACTATTTGCGCCCCGCGTTTGCGCAGGGGTTGGGTACGTCGCCAGGGTATTTTTTCGTTCCCGGGCGTTGGCACGGGACGAGTTGAATGATACACTTGCGTTGCAATCGATTGCAATCCATTGGGTTGCAAGCGATTCGATTGCAATCCATTGGATTGCAATCGTTTAGATTGCAATCGGTTGAATTGCAATCGATTCAATCGATTGGATTGCAGGGGAGGAACAGGACGGAAGGGAGGGAGGGGAGGAGAGGGAGGGGAGGGAGGAGATGGAACGAAGGGTGGGGAGGGAGGGGAGGGAGCCAAGCTAGTTGCGTTCGCGTCATATCTGACGTCCTACCCCTCCCTCCCATCCCTTACCATGGCGCTGATTTTCTCTATCCGCGGACGCGTGTCGTAGCGGACCTGTGGCTCCGCGCGCGCGTGCGTAGTGGGTGGTGGTGCGCGTGCGTGCGTGCGTGCGTGTGTGGTGGTTGTCGTGGTGGTGGTGGTGGTGGTGGTGGTGGTAGTGGTGGTGGTGGTGGTGGTGATGGTGGGTCGGTGGGTGGTGGTGCTGGTGGTGGTGGTGATGGTGCGGTGATGGTGGGGTTGGTTAATGTGCTGGTGCTGGTGGTGGGTGTGGGGTTGGTTGTTGGTGGTGGTGGTGGCGGTGCGGCGCGGTGGTGGCGGGCGGATGGGCGCGCGAGAAAAGGGCCCGCGCTGGGGCGAGAACTCCATCCTGAACGACGGAGGCCAAACACCGATCCGAAAATGAGGCCCTCGCAGCAGCGTGAGCACGATTCGGAACGATTCGGGAGCAGAAATGAGGCCGGCGCCTCAACGAGAGCAGCACTTCAGGAACAAATGACGCCGGCGCCTCAGCGAGAGTCGTTTCCCGGGATTTTCCGGGAATCTGGTGTGTAAAAAAACAGTACGCGGAGGGTGCGCGGCCATCACCCAGACGCCATCAGGGGAAGAGGGAGAGTATTTTCATATTGAGTAATTGTGGAGGGAGGTGGGGAGGGGGATTGCAGTGGAACGGAGTGCAATCGATTGCAAGCGATTCGATTGAGATTTTCGATCGTCGATCGTTGATCGTCGATAGTCCATCCTCGATCGTAGATAGTTTAGTTTGGATCGTCGGCGAAAGGGAGGGCGGAGGCTACGGGGGCTGGGCGGCCAAAAAGGGGAAGGGGCGGGGGGGGCTCGGCTTCCAAGCCCCCCCCACCTTTGGCACAAAGGGGGCCCCCCTTTGGCACAAAGTGGGGGAGGGGGTGGGAGCTTCCAGCAGGTCGGCCTCCAAGGGACGGGGGGGGTAGCTTCAAGCACCCCCCCCCTTTGAAAGGGGGGAAGGGGGGGGGGGGGGCTTCCGGGGCGGCCAAGGGGGGGGGTAGCTTCCAAGCGAGGGGGGTAGCTGTAAGCACCCCCCCCCTCCTGCAAAAAAAAGAGGGGAGGGGGGGGGTGCTTCCAACAAGGGCGGCTCAAGGGAGGGGGGGGTAGCTTAAGTCCAGCTCCCCATCCCCTTTGCTCGGGCCCTGTGGGCGCGCTCTCTCTCTCTCTCTCTCTTTCCTTTCCCCCTCCTCCACGGACCTTTTGAGGCTCGCGCGGGCGCGGCTTCAGAGGGCCTCGCGAGGTCCCGGGGCTACAGGGGGACGAAACGACCTTGGACGATGACTGCCCCCACTTCCTCCCGTCGTGAAAAACCACGACGGGAGGTTTTGGGTTGCTTTCGGCTTCGGGGGGCCCTCACCGGGCGTCGGGACTGTCGACAGCCGTCTCAGGACGACAAGCCAGTCCTGATGAAGTGGTCCACACATCCAGGGTCCACGCTGTGAGCAAAATCGCGGCGTCGCGGGGGCGATGGCTGGCAGCAGGTCCCCGTCGGCTTCAAGGCGATCGCGGTTTGTGTGTAGCGGCGAGCATCGGAGGTCCAAGCAGCGACCCCCGTCCGCTGCGGAGAGCGATGTTGCTGCTGCGATCGTCCCCAGCGTTGCTTGCCCCCACTTCCGGCGCGCCAGAACGGAGGGGCAGTTTGAGGACGGCGGGGGGAAGGGGTGGGCTGCAGCCCCGCCGGGCGCGGTGGGGGGAGGGGTTCGGGCGGAGAGGCGAGGGGGGGAGGGGAAGGTTCGTCGGGGAGCAGGAGTGGCGGCCGAATGAGCGACCGGCCAGGCGCACATGGGGTTCCTCCTTCTCCTCCTCCTCTTCCATTCGCTCCCGCCAGACCCCCAACGTTTTTCTAAGCGCTCTTGCCCTGATCGGGTCGGCAGGGGGCGCATTTCCGCAGCACGGGGGATGGGTCCTCTGCCACGAGGTTTAGTTTGTTTGAGCCTTCGGTCAGGTCCCCCGCCTGGCTGGCGGCCTTGCCGTGTTCCAGGGGTGGCAGGGAGCGAATGCGCTGTTGGCGTCTCGGTAGCCCCTGGTGTTAAGTCGGACACGTCCCTCTACTGGAGGAAAACTCAAAAATAGTAAAAAAGTAGTCTGGGGATTATTGTTTTGAGCATGTTTGGACCATTCGGGGATATTTTTTGAATATTTTTTTTCGTAGAAAATCCCCCTGCAGGGGGACACGCCCGACTTAACCCTGGTGTTGTTCTGGGGGTGCCAGTGGCTTCCTCCCAGGTGCTGCCTCCTCGGGCGTCTGGCCGCGAGAGGCCGCACCAGGCACGGTGTTGGCAAAATGTCCCACAACCTTTATCCGAACCGTCCTGTGGTGTTTGGTCTTCGTTTTGAATCAGCAGCGCCCCGCGTCTCCTTCCTGCCTTCCTTCCTCCTCCCTCCTCCTCCTCCTCCTCCTCCTCCTCCTCCTCCTGCTCCTCCTGCTCCTTCTCCTCCACCTCCTCGTCATCACCACCACCACCATCATCATCGTCACCACCACCACCATCATCATCGTCAGCGCATCATCCTCGTCATCACCATCAGTATAACTATTATCGGCATCATCAACATCATCATCATCATCGTCAGCATCATCGTCAGCATCATCATCGTAGTAATCACCATCGTCATCACCATCATCATTAGCATCGTCATCATCATCAGCATCATCATTGTCATCGTCAGCATAATCCACATAATCATACTAATCATCATCATCATCATCAGCATCAGCATCAGCATCAGCATCAGCATCATCATCATCAGTATCAGTATCGGCATCATCATCAGCAGCATCATCACAATCATGATCGTCATCATCATCATCATCATCATCATCATCATCATCATCATCATCATCATCGTCGTCGTCGTCGTCGTCATCATCATCATCATCATCATCATCGTCGTCATCATGATCATAACCACCATCCGTTGCCATTTTGGCTTAAGGTGCTCGGGCTCCCCGCCGCGGCCTCCCCGCGCGTTCCCGCCGCGCCCTCCAGCACTGCGGCCAGGCAGCCTCCCTCGCGAGGCTCTACTCGCAGTTCCTCTTCTAGTTCGGCTCCCCCCAGTTCGTACACGCTCGGCCCGCATGGCGCTGCCGTCCACGCTGCCGCTGACGGGACGCCCGCCTGGCGACTCATCGTCTCACCTCCTACACTGCGCCATGCTCGTGCACCTCCAATTCATGAGCATGCTGGTGATAGTTTCTGCTTCCTGCAGCCCTGCGCCGACGACGGCGCCACCTCGCAACATCTCCATTTCCGGCGTGATCGTCGAGCACAGCAATCAGGAGCCCAACAATTTCGTGTCTGCCGCCGCGCCGCTGTCTCGCTCGTCCTGCTCTTCTCCATCCCGCGCGACGGCGCCGGCCAGGGATGCGGGCCGGCCCGTGCCTGCCTCGACTCCAACAGCGGTTTCATCCGTTTGCGAATTCATGCCAAACTCCACGCACCTCCCCGCAGCGTCGACGAGATGATGCCGCCGCACGAGACCCTCCACACGCGGAGCACCATGCACCCCGTGCTGAGCTGCTCGCTTCACGTGCGGCTCCGGAAGCTCCACGCGAAGATTTTCACATTCCGCGCGAGGAACTTCACGCGCCACGGGCGGATCCTCGAGCTCCGCGCGCTGAGCTTCACGCGTCGCGCGCCGATCGTCACGCTCCACATCCCGAGCCTCATGATCCACTTGCGGATGCTCGTGTCCCACATGACGAGCCTCGTGCAGCCCATGACAGTGATGGTGTCCTTGCTTCACGGGCGGAACAACACGCTCCGCGAAAGAAACCGCGCGCTCCACGGGTCCGTCATCCCGCTTCACCTGCGAAACATCACGCTCCACGGGCGGATCCTCACGACCCACGGGACGAACAACGCGGATCATCGCGCCCCACGGGACGAACTTCACGCTACACGCGCGGATCCTCGAGCTCCACGGGCCGACCTCCACGCCCCGCGTGCGGAACACTACGATCCACGGGCAGAACCTCGCGCCCCACAGGCTGAGCTTCGCGCGCCGCGTGCTGATCTCCACGATCAACATGCGGATCATCACGCTCCACGGAGGATACCTCATGCCCCACGTGCGGATCTTCGTGTTGAACAAGCTCCGGAGGACAGAGCCGTGTTCTGCGCGAACTTCGTGTCTTGGCAATTCGACGTGATCGGCGGCGTTAGTGAGGGCCCCGCGCTCTTCGTGTCAGCGAGCAGCGCCGCGTAAAAGCGATGAGCGAGATGAAGATCGAGATGGGGGCCGACGCCAAGCTCCACCTCGCCGATGCCCTGTCTGCCTGCACCGACGCAGTGCTCTCGGCCGTCTGCCAGAAGTACGACCAGATGTTCACCGACAAGGCCACCATCATCCATGAAATGCGCGACCAGATCTCCACCAATGTCCCCGCCATGCACGTCGCGCGCAACCGCATCCAAAAGTCAACTACCTCGTCATCAACATCTACTTCGACGGCTTCGCACTGTTCTAACGGCCTCGTCCGCTAGCCTCTTTATGCTGCCCGGGAAACCCATCGATTTGGTCCGAAATGCACAGGTTTCTAGTCGGGCGTGTGAGCGGCGGTCGCAGCCCAGCCGTTACGAATCTCATAATAATCACCATCCGCATCATCATAAACATCCACATCACCAGTATCGCCACCACAATCATCATCAACATCATCATCATCACCACCATCATCTATGTCCGAGGGATTGACTGTAAAAAGAGGTGTCCGTCAATGGTGCCCAAGGAGTGGGTCGATATACGCAGTGGCCCCTTACCCGTTTGTCCGCCGCGGACGAGATAGGTATTGCTTGCCGCCGCAGCTTTAACCAGCTTCCCGAGGTCATCAGTTTTTGTGGGAAGGTGAGCAGTGCTTCCTTCTGGCCTCACGATCAACGCTAACCTGTAGCATTCCAGAGACATGGCGCTGTGAAAGTTATTCGGACGAAGAGTAGACGCCAGTCCGTGTAAGAATTATGGCCAGGCTAAATATATCGGAGTCGTAATAGGCCTTGAGGCAGCTGTGAGATCGTGGCGCGCGCCCGCCATCAAGGTAGCTGCTCGCGCGAGGGAGGTGAAAGCAGCAAGTGTTTCGCTCAGCAGCTCGTCTGCGAGGTTCAACTCTGTCGGCACTTCAGTATTGCTTTATTGTGGCCAGGCTCTTGCCGCGTGCAGAGAGCTCCGTGTCGGCTATCGACCGGCCAGCCAGCTTCTAACAACTTGCCCCATATTCACCATCACTCACCTCACCCTGTTGAAGTTGGACAGCCTCACGATTCGCCATCCCGTTTGTGTCCTACAGCTGGTCTGTTGATCATATGTGCATCGATGCGCTTTGATGGAGTCGATTGCGTATCGCCGTCTCGTCTATCACTTTGTGGGGATCGCGTCGTGGCGTGCTGGCCCCAGCACATGTTCAAGCAGTCCTTCTGCTTCCCCAGGCGAGAAAATGTAGTGAGTCATTCTAGAATCCATGGGGGTCCCGTAACACATTTTGACGACAAGTTGTCCCAGAGGTCAGTGTGCAAGCGGCTGAAATCTGGACGCCCGACATGTGCGTGACTCTCCAGCTCCCCGCTTTAAATATTGGAAGCCGGAACGTGCCCAGCTGATTGATACTGCCACACTTAGGTTTACATGGACCATCCTCAAGTTGGACCACACGGGACAGGTATCACATGACAGCGACGTGCTGTAGATTCGGGCCTGAAGCTCCCGAGGGCGACCTCCTAAGGCATTACCTCAGGTGCCCCCATCTGTTTGGCGTTGTGCGTTCTCTCTCGCCCGCCCTCCCGTCGTTGTGGGAGCGGGTTGCTCTCGCGGAAGCTATTTGTTTCGCGCCGCTTTCCATCTCTCATTCCAACGCCTTGCCCTCGATCCTTGTTGCCACGGATCTTTCCCATGCGATGTTTCGTTCAGGGCGAGGAAATTTGTCCCCAGCGCGGTTGCCGCCCAGCTTGCTCAATCTTCTGGATGCGTGGCCTGGCCACAAGATTTGCAGAACGCAGCAGCTGGCATCTGCCTGATGAACCAGGGCTCCTGCGGGGGGGGGCCGTATCATCCTCATCATCATCACCATCATCATCATCATCATCATCATCATCATCATCATCATCATCATCATCATCATCATCATCATCATCAACGTCATCATCATCAGCACCATCCTCGTCATCAGCAGCAGTTTCATCATAGTCCTCATCATACTTCTCGCCATCACCACAACCATCATCACCACCACCACCATGATCATCATCATCATTATCATCAGCATCATCATCACCATCCTCATCATAGTCAGCATCGCCATCAGCACCAGCGTCATCATGATCATCATCATCGTATTTGCCGTCACCACCAGCATCATCAGCCCCATCGGCATCAGCATCAACACGGTCACCATCATCAACCAGATTTCGGCCCACCCTTCACACGCGTCGCTGCCCCATAAGGCGCTCCACCGAAGGCCCCAGTGGGAGGGCCCGCATGGTGCCACCGCTCCTATTTCGGCACACCGCTCACACACTTCGTGGCTCCATTGGCAGCTCCACCGGAGGCCCCAGAGGGAGGGTCCGCATGCGGCCACCGCACCCATGTCGGCACGCTCCTCACACGCTTCGTGACCCCATAAGGGGTTCCACCGAAGGCCGCGGTGGGAGAGTCCGCATGGCGCTATCGCACAAATTTCCGGCACACCCTCACACATTTCGTGGCCCCAGAGGGAGCCCCACCAAAGGCCCCAATTGGAGGGTCCGCATCGCGCCACCGCGCAAATATCGGCACACTAGGGGGCCCCACCGAAGGCTTCAGTGGGAGGGTCCGCATGGCTCCACTGCACCAATTCCGGCATACCCTTCACACGTTTCTTGGCCACCGAAGTCCCCAGTGGGAGGGTCCGCATGGCGCCACCGCGCTTCTTTCGGCACGCCGCTTGCACGTTTCTTGAGCTCCACCGAAGGCCCCATTGGGCGGGCCCGCATGGCGCCACCCCACTCGAAGGGAATTCCACTGAAGGCCTCATTTGGAAGGTCCGCGTGGCGCCACTTCGCCCATTTCGGCACACCTCTCACACATTTCGTGACTCTATAATGGACTCCACCGACTCCAAACGCCCCAGTGGGATGGTCCGCATGGGGTCACCGCTTTTTATGTCTATAACCATTCACACACTACGTGGCCCCATAGGTAGCTCCACCAAGGCACCAGTGCGAGGGTCCGCATGGCGCCACCGCACCATGTCCAGCACACTTCTCACACGATTCGTGGCCGCAGAGGGAGCTCCACCGAAGAAGGCCCCAGTGGGAGGGTCCGAATGGCGGTGGTGGGCAATCGCCTCCCTCCCAGCATCCCCTGCTAGGGTCTGAGGGAGGGTGAGGAGCGGCCTGAGGGCACCACCTCGTTTCTCTCCGTGCGCTTCCCCTGGGTCATACCACGGCACGTATCCACTGGGACGCTATCATGCGCTTCCCCTGGGTCGTGCTTCGGCACGTATCCATTGGGACGCACTCATTCGCTTGTTCTGGGTCGCATTCCCAGCACCCCCTGCCTGTGTCTGAGGGAGGGTGGACAGCAGCTTGAGGGCCCCACCCCGTCTCTCTCCGTGCGCTTCCCCTGCGTCGTGCTACGGCACGCAGCCACCGGGACGTACTCGTGCGCTTCTTTTAGGTAGTGTTTCGGCATGTATCCACTGTGACGAACTCGTGCGGTTTCTCTGGGCCGTGTTTCGGCGCCTATCTACGTGGACGCACTCGTTCCTTTTCCGCTCCTCTCCTCTACTTCCTATTATTTCCTCCTCCGCTCCTTCTTCATCATCCTTCTGGTCATCGTCATCGCCGTGATTATCAGGACCATCGTCATCATCATCATCATCATCATCATCATCATCATCATCATCATCATCATCATCATCATCATCATCATCATCACAATTGTCATCATCATCAGCATCATCATCAGCATCGTCATCATCTTCACCAGCATCATCATCATCGTCATCACCATTATCACAATCATTGCCAACATCATTATCATCACCATCATCCGTATCATCGACATGACCGTCACCATCAGCATCACAACATCATCACCATCATCGCCATCGCCATGGTTAGCATCACTATCAACATCGTTAGCGTGAGCATCATCATTATCACCCTTCTCCTCGCCATCATCATTATCCTCATCCTCATTATCAGCATCAGCATCATCATTATCAGCGTTATCACCATCATCATCATCACCATCATCAGCACGTCATCCTCATCATCACCATCATCAGCATCAACATCATGATCAGCATCTTCACCACCATCATCATCATCATCATCACCATCATCATCACGTCATCATCATCATCATCAGCATCATCATCATCAGCAGCATCATCATCAATAGCAACTTCATCGCAGCGGGTAGGGCGGCAGAACTATCCCTGCCACTGGGGCAGCTCGGAGTGGCTTCATGCAGTGGAGGCGCAGAGTGGCCCCCTGTACGTCTCCAGAGGTATTCTCAGAGAGCTCCGGAGGAGCAGTCGCACACTGAGAGCAGCAAACATTCAGATGATGGGAGCCGTGGTGGTAAGAAATCGGCCTCCAGCGCCCACCAACGCGGCATTCCGACCTACAGCGTCCAGTTGTCCACCCCCACTTGTCGATGTTCAACCTCTACCAGATCGACACTGCGCCATCTTGCCACCAGCATCCATCTTCCCAGCTCCATCTCCACCTATCGACCTCCCGCGTCCACAAACTCGGCATTTTGACCACCAGCAGCTAGCACCCAACTCCAATTACACCTCCACCGAGTGACTTCCAACCTCCTCCAGTTCCGCACCCTGACCTCTCACATCCAGCATCCGACATCAACGTTCACACCATCACCCCCACCTATCGGCTTTCATCCTCCACCAGGCCAGCACCACCACCTGCAACACCCAACATCAAACATTCCACATCCACCTTCACCTATCGACCTCTAACGCACACCTTCGCAGCATTCCGACCTACAGCATCAATTCTCCTGGCTTCGCATGGGCGGGTTCCCACGCCCCTCCCAGGCCAGCCCAAAGGTGACAGCTCCACTATGGACCACCCTCCCCCTCCACTCCGACGGCAGCCCCTGCACCAACGCCTCCGCTCCGACGGCAGCCCCTGCACCAACCTCAACTCTGGCACCTACGCCGACACCAATACCAAAGCCCACCCCAGCACCGACGCCAACGACATCCGACGCTTGCTCTCCATCTCCGGCTTCACCTCCAACCGCCCCATTCCACAATACGGGCCGTGCATGCGCACCTCCATCTCAGCACCGACTCCTGCCCCGACGCCTGCGTCGCCTCCAACTCTACTCCTTCGCGCGCGGGCTTTATGTCCGGTTTGAGCCCTCAACGGCCGCCGACTCCAGCTCCCCA